ATATATATTTAGCAAATAAAATGCTAGTGCTAGCTAGATATTTAATGACTTTTTACGTATCAAGAACATGCAGTATATGTCAATACTATTAATTTATAAACTGAGACAAATATACTTCCCAGAATAGCAATTATAATTGCATCAGTTATCACTATCATTGAGATGTATACATAGTGCTAGTTGGTGGTATCCAAAACCACATAAAGCAGAGTGACTTTGATATGAAGTGTTAAGTTGCAACCAAATAAAAAATTTTTGAGGTTTAGAAAATTTGGATTAAAATTAGAGTGTTAAGAATTCTGCAATTGCAAAAATTCTGCAAATTCTACAATGCGAAGTTTCCAGAACCTGCAATTAAATAACAATTCAATTGAATTCTTAATTTGCAGATTTGTAGAATTTGAAATGTAGTTCCAAAATAATACTTGACGATTGTCTGTCAAAGCCACCAAACAATATTAGTAATTCTGGTCAAATCAACTGCAACAATTATATGCAGAAAATAACATAAAAATTGCAAAATTCTGGGATTATAGCAATCAGTATGGTATAGGCCGAAATTAAAAAACTACACTATACTAATCAGTTATAATTCATACCCTAATGCTAATATATATATAACACCAGATCAGTATGGTACAGATTCTAAAATTCAGCCTGTACCATACTGATCTGCTCACTCGTACTATACTAATACTGATATATGAAATACCTCAAAATTCTGGATACCCTAGTGAAAATTTGTTTATAGTGATCTTTTACGTACATATATACGTATATTCAATCCTAGAGATGTACCTTGTGCAAGGTAAAACTAGCATATATTCTACAAATTATATGAACTTGCACGAGGTGCAAGGTAACGTCATTTAAAGTGGAATTTTGAATCTAGCGAATTCATTAGTTTTAGTAACATCCATAAATTACTAATGCTAAGTTTTTTATACTAAGAATCTTCCTTGCGCAAGATATGGTGTAATAATTTGCTCAAAGATGAAATTATCATCAATTGCAAGGTACATCTCTATTCAATCCTAACAATGAACTACCGCTATTATGCAGCAATTACATTATGATCCAAATAAGAAATTAATTAAATACATACTCTTAATTAGGGTAGATGGCTATATTTCTAGACTTGACCAGATTACTTTCGGCATATCCTTGCTTAATTATCATTTCGATCTATTGACTTTTAGTCAACTCGAAAAATATGATACAATGAATTAAAACTTATGCACCAATAGGTTTTTTTTTTAATTGGTAGTGGTAGACTGTGAGAATTTAAAGCAAAAAAAAGATTTACAAGCATTTGAAAATAACAAAAATTCGAGTTTTGTTCTGAATTGAGCATCATACCCAAGAAATTCTGTGAAATTCATTTATGCATAACTCAAAGTTAAAAAGTGCGTACTATATATTATTAATAGTCATGGCAATATAAATTACAAGAAGCAAGTTTAAAATTCGTAATCATATGGAGCTTTTTGTAAAATAAAAAATAAAAAAAAATAAAAAAAATTTTAAGCAAATATTTTCATACCTGGTTCTTTTTTAAAAAATGACTTTCGCAAATGTACGCATATCGAAAGGGAGTAAAACATTACATGGATGGTACATACATCTGATCCCATATGAAATGACGCTTAAAGAATTCTTTTATAAGCTGGTTAATAATAAAATTTCGCCAGATATATTAGTTAATGTGGGTAATTTTGAGCAAATAAAACATATTGATTTAAGTAAATTAATTAATCCACTGATGAATACAACACAAACAAGTCCTGATTGTAAAATTATCGAACTCACCAGCGAGTTTGGAAAGAATGTCCATTATCATCTTCATAATGATGGAGTGCAATATAGCAATTTAGATAAATATGATAAATACAAAAACAGGTTTGATATCATTATGCAATCTTCTCAAAACAAACAATTCTACATACCAAATTTTTCATATTCATCAAAATCAAACTGTAAGCAGTTACTATGTCACGATATTGTTAAATTAATTCAGAATCATAAAATTGGCTAGTCGACACAAGAATCAGCAAATAATGAAGGAAAACAGTTCATAATTTCTTTATCAGAAGCTCTTTGGTACATAGATATGTGTGATTATACCAAATTAAAAGAACGAGGTTACGATTTACCTATACTGTTTCATGAATTTTTCGGTCATGCAAACCCCGAATCATATAAAGCTACAAGAAAACAATTTGATATAAACAAGTTAGATATTCATTGTCAATCACTTATCCCTTACCTTTCATCATCATGGATACGATCCTCTAACTTTAGCTGGTTATACACTGCACTCAATGACCTTGTAATTACGATTTCCAATTATGCAAAATACTTAC